TACTTTAAGGACCGGCCGTGCAATTTACTCAAGTATTAAAGTAGGTTTGGTTTGGGCCGCTAAACTTTAGTCCCTCATAAATGGTTTAGTTCCATTTAGTCACTTTAGAGTTGCTAGGGAGGATTAAAGTCATGTTAGTCTTATTTAATCATTGTGTTTGTGTAAAAAGTGACTAAATGAGACTAGATTTAAAAGCTCTTAGCTGAACCAAACATCCCCTGGAATGGAGAGGCGCATGTTGCATGCAGGCGCCACACGGGTGGGGTTTGCCATGTAGGGACTAAAGTTTAAGAGGTGTCTCATCGGATGTCACATGGGGTGTCGCATGAGGTGTTCGAATACTAATAAAAAAACAAATTACAGAATCCGTTAGTAATAGCGAGACGAATTTATTAAGCCTAATTAATTCCTCATTAGCACATGTTTACTGTAGCCCAACATTGTCAAATTATGGACTAATTAGGCTTAATAAATTCGTCTCACAAATTAATCTTAATCTATGTATTTAGTTTCGTAATTAGTCTATATTTAATACTTTATGTATATGTCCCGGACTTGTCAGGGCGTGAGCAGAAATGCTTAAATTGGCATTATTGCCCACAGCTCAGACGGGCTTGTATGTTTGCACTGTACTATAGACACAACCGACAATCATCATACAAACATACAAGGCTGTAGGCTGCAGCGTTGTTAAGTGATGATGACTACTGGCTAGCACTGTAGTAAGAAACAAAATTGCATTATGCGTTTAAGTGCTGTTCTTCTCAGAGAAACAAAATTTTCTTAGTATGGCAGTGAATTTTGCTCTTGTCGATGTACTCTATTCAGGTGCCACGGTCTTGTTAACAGGTGTGCACGTGAACTTGTTCCTTAAGAATGTTGGTTTCTGAACTAAGAGGTCTCGGGTCGATCTTATGTTTGGATTGAGTCCCTACTAAATTTTGTACAGTCCATGCCTGCCTCCTTGGTGGGTAATGACTTTACCTTATGAGCCTTTGCCCAAAAAATAATCGGGACGCAACACCTCACTCACTCACTTCGCACTCAGTCTCTCGCTTCCTCCTTCCTTCCGCGCTCACGGCCCGCGTCTACCCTGCCGCGTGGCCATGGCTGCCTACCTGGCCAGCGGTGACATGCTCCCCAACCTAGGCGTCATCCTTCCTCACCCCGGCGGCCTCCTCCCCCACTCACTCCCCTACCTCAGCGTCCTCCTCCGCCACCTTGTCATCCTCACCCACTCGGAGCGTCCAACGCGCGCGGGTCCGGTGGCCCTCTCCCCCACCCCAGCGAGATCCAAACAAGCCGCTAACCCTCCCCTACCCCGACCGACGGCGCCCACCCTAGATCAGGTAGTGTCTCCTCTCCCTCGGCCTACAGCGGGCATGGCGGGCCTGCGGGTGCGCACCATCCAACAAGCCCACACTACTGCAGTTGCCCACCAGGTAGGTCATGACCGCACGGCGATGTTGTGTTTTCAAATGTTTCTGGACGCTTTTCAGACATGTTGCAAGCCCATGTTTCAAGTGTTTAAGTTGTTTTAGATGTACTCCCTCCGTCCCTAAATAACTGTCGTCGTTGGTGTGCGTGGCACAAGTTTGACTCGATTTATAGAAAATACGTGCAGCATTTGTATCTCAAAAATAATTTTATTAAAAAACTAGATTCAAAGATCTTTTCAATGATACTAATTATGTACCCGATAGATATTTAGGGACAGAGGGAGTATGTTTTAATTGTGTTCATGCGGATGTTGCAAAAATAGATCGGGATGTTGCATAATGTTGCAATGATTGCACACTTATGTTGCAAGCGTCTATCCCCAATGTTTCATCTGCTTTTTGTACATGTATGTTGCACTTGTTTCAGACGCATGTCTCAAGTGTTTCATTTGTCTTCTTTTGTATGTTGCAAGTGTTGCATCGGGATGTTTCGAAATTAGATCAGGATGTTGCACATGTTGCAATGGTGTTTCAACTATATGTTCCAAATGTTTCATTCATTTTAGACGTATGTTGCAAATGTTTTATCTGGATGTTGCAAAAGTAGATCGGGGTGTTGCACGGCGCGACCGGTGGCTGTCGCTGCGCTGCTGGGGCGCAACCGTAGGTCAACCCACGTGGATTTCCCCGCGCGTGCGGGGGCGCGGGTCCCTACGACGGACGTAGGCGCCGGTGCAGAGGCGGGACGCGGGGCGGCGCAGGTGTCGGAGCCACGTCTGGACATGATGTCCAGGCACCTGATTATTATTTTTCTCGATCACGCCAAAGGTTTGCGCGTCTTTGTATTAAGATAGAGAAAAAGTTTAATACAACACGCCTTAGCAGCGTCCTAGGGGTCAGCAGAATTGTACAAGGACGCTTCGACCGACCCTAGTGAATTGAAATCTATGGTGTTACACTGGGAACTAATCAACCCGAAAAGAGGCGCCAGCTAGGAGACCTATGCCAGTGCAGCAAAGTGGCGGCGGCGCCGCTTGCCCACGCCCACATCGCCGTACGGCGGGAACAACTCATGAAGCGCCTCCATGTGACCGGGGTCACCGTCGTAGATTTCTTCATACGCCTTCATGGACGACGTGGATGGAGTCGACACCCCGCTGGTGAGTCCCAGCGCTTCACTTCAAGACAAGGTGCTCGCCTCGCTTGGCCACCGGGATGTGGGACAAGCTCTGCGTCGCTATCCGTCTGTTCCTCTTGGGGAGCGTGGGGGTTGAATCATCTCCGGGCAGCTCCAGGAGCAGTGGCTGTCTCGCCCTCGTGACTCGCTCGATGAAACTCTTGAGGCGACTGTCGACGGAGTCCGTATGAGGGAATGGAGTGCTGTTGACGATGTCTGTGGCAGCCACTACCGTCATGCCTCCCGAGGTGGTAGCCCTGACCAGCGCTGGGTCAAGGCACGCCTCGGCATGCACGACGCCAGGCTGCCCCCCGAGCGATAGTCCGACCTGTGGTGGCTCCTTCTGAGAGACGCCCACTGAAGCAGTCGAGCACGCTCCTACTGGGGGCTCGCCACGAGCGAGGCGACGAACTCCTCCAACATTGGGTCGATCCACGTGGGAGGCCCCGAGCACGCCCACAGCTCCAACGCCAGTGGATCTTGCTCGGAAGAGGGGAAGCAGCGTGCAGCAGCAGCGGCAGCGGCGTTCCCGTCGCAGTCGGCCGACGCGCCCAAGCTGACGTCCCTCGTCGGCTCACTCCAGCATCGCCACTGTCTTCCGCTAGCACCCCCACGAGACCCCCACCCGAGCTGCGGCGGGGCGCGTGCAGGGGGCGTCGGGTTGCCGCCATGAGTGGGGTGCCATGGTCGGCCGCGATCCTTCGCTGCCAATGCCGCCGCATGCCTGGGCCGTTTGCAGTACCTGGCAAGGTGGCGGAAGTCATGGCAGCGCAGGTAACCCGATGCGAGTAAGAGAGGCAGTTGAAGCATCTGCCGTGAACCTCCGCGGGTACCTTCCGGGTCTACCAAGCTTGCTTTGCGTCGCGACAAGGCTCAATCGAGGCGGTCGCAGGTCGAGCTTCCTGCCGAGGGAGGTTCTCCCGCCACTCGTCGGCATCGGGGGCGGAGACCCGCTCGCGGCAGCCGAGGCACTGGTGTGTCGGGATGCGACCCTCCACTAGCCGAGCAGGAATATCGCACACTAGCTGTGGCCGCGGCCGACTGCGTTTCCCCGCCTTCGCCCACGGCCCTGGCGGCCCACCACCGCTCCGCCATGGCCCGACATTAGAGTTTGGGCGCGCGTCAGGGACACAACGACCAGTTTCGGCGGGCGACGGCGACGTCCAGGTAGGTAGCTGGCGGGGTGGTCGTCGTCGGACTCCTCACCGTCGGCGTCCGCCCACCGGCGGCTCTTTGTGCGCCCTCCCGCGGGGCCGCCCGGGAAGAACGGAGCAGCGTCCTGAGAGAGGGTGGGCGAGCTGGGGACGCCAGCAGCGCAGGCAGCCTCCGGACCGCGGCGCGGAGACGCAGGTGGTGACGGCGGAGACCGTGCGTCCCGCTCCTCAGCACTGCAACCCGTGCAAGGGAGGGCGGACGAGCTTGGAGCGGCCTCCTGGACCACCGGCGGATGCGGATCCAGTCGCCTGGGGCCCACCCGCACGGGATCCGCCCTCCTCCATGGGCTGTGGCGGCGGGCGCGCCCCCGTGCCAGCACCGACGAGTTGGGCGGTCGCGGCGTGGCGGCCAGCGCCGGCGGCGCCTCCGGTGAAGTCAGGGGGGAGCCGCAAGCAATAGGAGTACGTATAATAATAGTGATTAGTAGTAGGGGGTGTTTGGTTCTTTAGTCGCTCCTAAAATTTATGTCATATCGAATGTTTAGATGCTAATAAGGAGCATTAAATATAGATTAATTATAAAACCAATTACATAGATGGAGGCTAATTTTCGAGACGAATTTTTTAAGCCTAATTAATGTGTCATTAGCATCTGTTTACTGTAGCAACACGTTGTCAAATCATGGACTAATTAGGCTTAAAAGATTCGTCTCGTAAATTAGTCGCAAGTTATGCAATTAGTTTCATAATTAATCTATATTTAATATTCTATGTATGCGTCCAAATATTTGATGCGACAGAAATTTTAGGAGAACCTACAGTAACCAAACACCGCCGTAGTAGTAGTACCGAGTCCGGCCCGTCATCAATTATGGGGCGGAGGGTATGTCTGGTGCCAAAGCAGCGTAGCGTAAGCCATAAACGAATGAAATGAATAAAAACGTACGGTGTGTCATGTGCGGCAGCGCGCTTGCGAGCCGCGAGGGAGTGTGGTGGAGAGATCACGGTCACGGGTTACACCAGGCCACCAATGCGCCGCGGGACGTACACACACATACTTGTGAAATACACAAATCCCGTGATGTCGATGAAATGAACATGCGTACTCTGTAGGAGTCGTCGCGTGTGAAGCCATGATGATGCATTGGTGAAGGAGAGCAAGCAAGAGGGCAGAAGCATTGGAGAGGAGAGTTGCAGTACGCAGGCAGACGCTCCTCCATGCATCTCGGCATGGACGGAGACCTGGACCGCGGGAGGACGGCCGGCCGGACGACACGCTCATGCCGCCGTACCACACGGGCCTGTTGTGTTGGCTACCTGCACCGCCACCGGCCAACCGATGGGTCTTGCATGAGTGAGGAGTGTGAGAGGGGAGCACGAGGAGGAGGAGGAGGCACAGGGAAGGGAACGCTTTTACCCAACCTGACCACGCACGAGGTAACGCTGCGAAGCAGACGAACCGGACTAGAGACCGGGCCCACCTATTAGCCTCCCCTATTCCATCCATTTTTTATACACACTCTGCAGACTGCAGAGTGTCATCGATCGCTGGCTGGCTATCGAGCTCTGTCGCCTCCACTGGCTGCTCTACTAGTCGTGCATCTCCCCCGACTCCCAAGGGAGGAAGTGTGGGCATTGTGGCAGGACACAGACACCCGCCACACAACCCGCTTGTCCTCTTCCTTCCGCGTCGGCCGAGGCCACGCACATGGCGCTGCTGCCTCTGCCTCTGCCACCCTCCTCCTCCTCCTCCTCCTCCTGGGAATGCTCGCCTCCCGGGCGCCGGCGCAGCAGCCGGCCACGCTGCACGAGCGCGACGCGGCGGCGCTGCGTGACCTCCGCGCCAGCCTGCGCGACCTCCCGGCCTCCCGCTTCTTCGACACCTGGGACGACGCCCGGAGCCCCTGCGCGTACGCCGGCGTCGTCTGCGCGCCCGACGACGCCGACGGAGACGGCGGCGGCGGCGACTCCTCCAGCACCACCGTCCTCCGCGTGTCGGTGCTGACCCTCGGCACGGGGCTCGCCGACTCCCCGGGACTAACTGGCACACTCCCGGACTCCCTCTCCACGCTCGCCGCGCTGACGGACCTGGTCCTGTACCCGGGCCGCGTGTCCGGTCCCATCCCATCGGCCCTCGGCGCGGGGCTCCGCCGCCTCCGGCTGCTCTCGCTGGCGGGGAACCAGCTGACGGGCGCCGTGCCGGCCTCCCTGGCGGGGCTGCCCGACCTCCACACGCTCGACCTCGGCGGGAACCGCCTCGACGGCGCCGTGCCGCCAGGGCTGCTCCGTCCCGACTCGCCCAGCCTCAAGGTGCTCATCCTCGCCAACAACGGCGGGATCTCCGGGGAGATTCCCGACGGGTTCGCGAGCTCCGGGCTGTTCCACGTCGACCTCGCGAGGAACGCGCTCGCTGGGGGGCTGCCGCCGATGCCGGCCACGCTACGGTACTTCTCCGTCGCCGGTAACGCAATGCAGGGCACCCTCGACGGGGCCTTTGGTTCTGGTGGCGGTGGTGGTGACGACGGCTCTGCCAGTCCACCACCCCTACCCGCCGACCTGGCGTTCCTGGACCTGTCCATGAACAACTTCTCGGGCCGCATCCCGGCGTCGGTGTTCGGTCTCCCGGGGCTGTCGTCGCTGCTCCTGTCGCGGAACAACTTCACGGGCGCGCTGTCCGTGCCGCCGCCGTCCCCGCAGCAGGAGTGGGCGGTGGTGGACGTGAGCCACAACGGCATCTCGGGCGAGGTCCCGGAGGCGCTGGCGGCGGCGGGGAGCCTGTACGTGAACAACAACCGGCTGTCCGGGGAGGTCCCCGCGGCGGTGGCGCTCAGCGTGCTGGCGGGGCGGATGACCACGCTGTACGCGCAGCACAACTTCCTGACGGGGTTCCCGGTCCCGCCTGCCGCGCCGCTCCCGGACTCCGCCGCGCTCTGCCTCTCCTACAACTGCATGGAGCTGCCGTCGGCCTCCGCCGCCGACGGGTGCCCCACCATCGGTGGCCCCCTCGAGGCCAGGCCCGCCGAGCAGTGCCGGAGCACCACCACCAGCGGAGGAGACGGCTGACGGGGGTGGCAGGACAGGTGGGGGCGCGCACGCTCGTCGGCACGGCACGGCACCCCGGCACGTCCACGGGCGGCGGTGGTTGGCGTCCTCGTCTTGTCTTGGGGACGGACACGGACACCAGGCTGGCAGCTGGCTGGGGCCGTGACCTCCCTCTCGCGTCGCTCCTTTGTCCGCTTGTTTTAGCTGGAGTAACCTGTAACCGTAGAGGTGTTTTGGTGGTGTGATGATTGGGATTTTGGATTTTGGGTTTGGGTTTGGGTTTCAAGTTTCAACGCAACGGTCACAGGGTTTGTCGTCCCGCGTCCGCGCGGACGGTCACAGGGCAACGCAACGGAACGCTTCTTGTGTGCTACTGCTACTCCCTCCATCCTTGACAGTCTTATTACAAACTACATTTTTAACCATTTATATTATAGCACTGTTATACTTATAAATTTATGATAAGTGTATAGTACATTTAGTTACATATCTAACTGTTTGTATTTATAGTAATTAAAAATTCCTAACTAAATCATCGGTCAAAAATTTTAAAGTTTGGATTTTGAAATAATAAAAAAAGAAGAGAGAATGCCAGAGTATTTATTTGGGAGTATTATTAATTTATTAATACTCAGCATGCTCAACTGGGTTGCCACCAACAGAGATATATACTCCTATAAGCAATACTGTACTATGCTTCGATCTTGTTGTGGAATACATGTGCACTAATGAGTGTCTGAATACATATACAATGCTGTCATCTTGTTTCGTTGACACTTGACAGACAGCCAAGCTCCCTCATCCTTTCCCATGGCACCTGTAGCCATTTTCGGCAATGCAACTTCTTTCTCCAGAGTCTTATTCATTGCCAAATCGGTTATCGGCATAAATAAATAGCATCAACCATTAAGAGCCGCCAATATGAGCTACTCCTATTTCCCAACCCCCTGTGTTTAGGAGTACTGAATCTAAACTGTCTGGATCTATTTCTGAATTCTACGCCTCTGAGTGTAACATGTTCAGGTTTATTAATTCAGTTATATCATGTTCAGTTTGATCGATGCCTGTCTGATGAAGGTTTGTTCAGATGTTTGATCATGTTCAGTCTGACCTACGCAGTTAACATGTGTTAATTAGTACTTGACAGCTCACTAGGTCGTTTATAATTAAAGGTTGCTCCACTTCTTGATGTATTACTACATCCCTCTACAAATAACCCTTCTCTCAGTTCATTCAGATGGCTGTAAGAGGCTTATTTATACTAATTATATCTCTCTTTGTATTTCCTGGATGAGCTAGTACAATCAGTCCTATACATACGTCTGTGCAAAACACATTCTTTTGCTTATGATCAGGATCAGCATATATATGCCATTGGACATTGGTCCAGGGGATAGGACTGGCGTTTTTATTGGCCACTATTGCTTTGCCCACTTGAGCAGAGAGCACCACGTTCGCTGCATCAGCGGAACAGTTCTCACTTGACAGAGAAAGTGGTACCGGGCAACTAATTACAACCGGTTTTAATTCAATACGGACTGACTCTTCTAAGATAAATCTATCAACTGTCTGCAACAAGATGAAGCCGGCAAGCCAGAAGAAGGTTTGTGCCTAACGAGTTAAGCCTGTCATTGCTGAAAATATCTTGTGTCTGAGAACGGTTCAAGTTTGTGCAACCATTGTCAGTCTCTTCAAGTAGGCATGGATGGCATTCTTGTTTCATGAGCATTCGAGGCTTCCTAGAAACTGCTGTGCAATCCAAAATACACTAGCGGTGTGCACATTCAGTATCTGTTTTAACTTAAGCGTGTATGTATGTACGCATGGTGAAGGAAAAGTTTGGATCTTCTTGAAATTATTATGAGCTGTTGTGCTTGCTACCGTGTTGTTTGGGCGATTTGCAAAAATAGGACTCGAAACATCGGTCGTTTGCAGATTTGACATTGGACCCATATTTATAGACACAGATGGACCCACTTGTCATCCACCCAAGTGTCATCATAATCAAGAGTCAATCTTTCGAGTGTCATTTTTGCAATTTTTTTCGTTGTTTATACGGCGCATGTACAGACAGGCCGTTCCGTTTGAAGCAGAACTGCAGAAGCAGTATCTAGTGGCAGGCAGAAAAAAGAGGCCAGCCAAACGGGGCGATTACTACGGTGCTCCAGTGCGTTTTTGTCTGTGGGCTCAAATTTTTCTTCTTTCGTGGGCCGCGCCTAGCTGCTGAATTATTTGTTTCCTGGACTGAGTGAGGGATTGTTCGTTTTCCTTTTCTTTTTGTTTGCGGCCCATGACAGCCCATATTTCAGAACGGGCCGGTTCATTTCGTTTTGTTTATTTTCTTTCCTTCTTCCCTATAATTTAATTTCGTTGCCTGAAATTTATTTCAAGGAATCAACTTTGATTATAAAAGTATCGATTACACATGGAGATGGCAATCCTACCCTTCTCTGCGTTCATATTGTGGTTTCTGTGGGAAATCATGTGCTAGTTCATCAAAGTATAAATATGGCTGTAAGAGGCTTAATCACATCTCTCTTTGGATTAATGAACTACTAGTATTAAATTTAGTCCCATAAATCTGTGCAAAACACATAGTACTTTTCTTTTATGTTTGATAAGTTTTTGAGTTGACAATGTTTAGAGTATCAAATAATCTTACAGATTTTGAGAATCAAACTTTCAAAAGTTCCAAACAATCTTGTATGGAGATATGCCTGTTACCAAAGTTGCAGTGCTCGACAAGATTTAGAATTATATGGTTGAAATTTATTTCATTGGAGATTCGTTTAGCGGCCAAACTATTCAATATGATATTATTAAATGTTAATAAAAAAGATAGAATCCTGTATTCGTTGACAGTTAAGTGTGTAGTGCAGTGCTAGAAAGTTATCAAGCGGTTTGAAATCTCAATCTTATATTATTAATTTTTTTACCAGTATAGGTTTCATGGTTAGGAGTAGTTGGCATTTTTTTTTGGGAAACATCCAGTTCCCCGGGAGAAGGTAGCAGTACAACTTGGTTTAGGGTCTGTTTGGTTCGCCTAGTAGCTATTAAATTTAGTAACTTTTAGTCACTTTAGTAACTTTTTAACCAAACACTATGATTAAAAGCTACTAAAAAAAACTTTAGTCCTCTCTAATAACTCTGAAGTTACTAAAAATGACTAAACCATTTAGTAGCTAAGTTTAGCGGCTCGAAACAAACATCCCCTTACATGCGTAATTAGTAGCGCTACCGTGGCCTAGGCTTCGTAGGTGTGGATTGCATGTCTTATTACTCGTTAGAAGGAGGTGGTCTAGGTTTGAGAGCTGTTCCCCCTGGCAAGGACTAGTAGGTGTAACAAACATCCTTGATCTCCTCAAAGATTGCTTGCTCTGTTTTCCTAGTGTCTCTAAAAATGATCGCGTTTCTCTGCTTCTAGATGCACCAAGATGTCAAGATCGCCAGAGAGTGCACCACCTTATTTTCTCTGCCTATCAAACTAGAGAACCAGTTCTCAACTCCTCAAGGTCGTAGTCCTCAGCTCACTTTGTAGGAAGTAGTAGTTGGCAATGGAATACCAAACGAGGCTATTCGTTACTTCATAGAAATATGAATATAAACAAATGATAGTTCATGTTGGATTACCATGTCGACAGAAGTGTTTTTTCTTTTATTTTGTGTGTGTGTGTGTGTGTGAAATTTGCACTGCAGGCTTTCAGTTCCAACTAGAAGCACATATAAAATTCCCGGTGTTTAGTTTTTCCACTAGTGAAAACCCACAGGCCGAAATGTTTATGATTGAAAATGCAGAATTTAAAAGTTACTCTCTGGTCTCCCTTATACGGTTTGATGGGAGGGATCCGAGTGGGTTTTATCTTCTACTCCCTCCATTTCAAATTATATATCTACTGGACATAATGTGTATAAATACATAGCAAAATCGATATATTTAGAAGGCTTATGCTCGGTACTCCTCTTCTAAAAATTGCACAGATCTCAAAGCGGCATAGCTGATTTTTTTCTGAAATTTTTCACCTGGATCCCGCGTGGGCCCAACCCGTCCAAGCCTAGCCCATACCCAAGGCGAACTCATTGTGCCCCCGACCCCCCTTCGTTCAGATTCCGCTCGTGCCGTTGTGTGCTAGCAGGCGACGAACGCTCCAGTCCAGGTCGATCTGATCATCTCCTGTGAGATCTTAGTTTTGCAGTGTCTATGGCACAACCATCGCCCTGGCTGGCATCCTCGTACACTTCTAACATGGGTAGCAGGCAGCAGGCAGCGGTGGACTTCCATCAGGATGAGGCGCAGATCTCTGAACGACGTCGCTTGTCGTTGTCGAGGAGGGGCATGGAGGCGCAACCTCCTTAGTCCTCTGCGCTGCCCGTACGTCGAGGACATGGATCCCGCGAACCTCCTCATCCCAAATCGAATGGCACCGCTGCCGGCTGCCAGCACACGAGACACGACGAAACGGATCGGCGGGGTGCGCCAGGTGCGGTGCAAGGCCACGCGCGCAGACTGGTGTGGTGTGGCACCGTCGAGGTCGAGGTCGAGGTCGAGCTATGCAGGGCCGTTGACGTCACCTGCTGCCGCGTCGTCAACGCCGCAGGGTGCGGCAGCGTCGAGGTGGCGCGGGCCATGATCAATTTGGCGTTCTGAGATGCTGTTGGCCTGAATAGAGAATGGTTCAAGGTCATATGCGATGATTACGTCAATCTGCAGCATTGAGGGCTTCAGGCGACGAGCTGAGCCGGGAGACGGCGACGCACGGAGCAGCGTTCGTGGAATTTGGGTTAGAGAGTTAGAGAATCTGTAGGCAAAATACTAAACTGCCCTTAATTATAATCCTTAATTAATATCGGGGCTAATAATCTTAACGGGAGGAACCTGTGGTTCCGCCCTAGCACCGTAACAAACCTCTAAGGGCCCGTTCGGTTAGGCATTCCCGGTCTGGAAGGTCTAGGAACATTTCCAGCCAAGTACAAAGTATGAAATGGATCCAGGCTCGGAACAGTTCCAGACCATTCCGGGCTGG